CATATAGCTCTATAGCCCCATAGCCCTATAGCCCTATGGCCCTATAGGTCACAGTCCTATAGCCATATAGCCCGATAGCCCTATAGCCTTATAGCCCTATAGCCCGATAGCCCTATAGCCCTATAGCCCGATAGCCCTATAGCCCTATAGCCCTATAACCCTAAAACATCTGATTGGGGGTGTTCTCCGGTATCATATCCATATCACCGCCCGGGAACTGACGTCCTGGTGCCCTGGCGGGCGGTGGATATGGATACACACTTCGGCCCCCAGGGGGCCCGAAGATGTCCACATCCACCGCCCGCCGAAGCTCCGAAGACTGACCCTCCAGGCGGTGGTTATGTGTAAATTCCCGCCCCGGAGCTCCCGTCTTGACTTGGGACGATCCAAATGGGTACGGAAAGAATGGGTACAATGCCCAACAGCAGTTTCTGTTCACTTTCAACAGGACTCGCTGTCGGTGTCGCCGGGGCCTGTGCCCATTTGAGACAGAAGGCCGCCTGCCCAACAGCGGCCGCTGTTGGTTTGGGGCAACATTTGTTGTTGGACATTGTACCCGTTCTTTCCGTACCCATTTCGGGCGTCCACATTGACCTCTCGCACCGTTGGACGTCACGGTTCGCCTCGTGAACGACCACCGCGCGCCCCCGGCCGCGAACAGGCGGCGCCGACCCCGGCGGCCGCGGGGGGGCGGGGCGAGGTGCCCGCGCCTGCTCCTGGGCGACCCTCGCGCGGCCTCGGCGCCCCGCCAGGAGGAGGGAAGGGGGAGGGCGCGAGGGGGAAGACGAGGGGCGAGGGGGAGGGGGTCCTCCTCCTCCTCCTCCTCCTCCTCCTCCTCCTCCTCCGATGTGCGCAGCTTCCCATGTCCGACCGCGCACAGCACGACGGGCTCTTTTCTGGAGTCCCAGGTCGGCTATGACGCGCGTCCGCGGATAGAGACAACGTCAGCGCAGTGGGAAGGGATGGGATGGAAAGGATCGAATTTCAGATATGGTGCGAGCGCACCTAGCTTGACTTCCTCCTCTCTCCCCTCCCTTGGCGCGCAAGGCGTGCACGAAGGTGTACGTCATCCACGCGCAGCACGTCTGAAGCCCTCGAGACTGCACTGGTGCAGTCAGGCCGAGGTCTCGGGTGTGCCAAGTGTGCGAAGACTTGTGGGAACACAATTATGAGGGGGATGAGGGTGAGGGAGGGGGACGAGAGAGAAGAGGGAGGGAGAAAGGGTGAGGCGGGGGGAGGGCGGGGGGGCGGGGGCGAGGAGGGAGATCGTTTTGGAGCGCTTCGGATATGCCCGGGGGGCAGAGCTTCACCTGGCCAAGGAGGAGCGCTCCACTCGGCAGGAACAAAAATCATCCGATGCTGCCCTGCTCGACTTCCTCAGGCTCCTCCCTCTCGTGAACAGGACAGAGGGCCTGGCCTTGAAGTACACGACGGAGGCCCACTGATGACATGGCGAGGCCTCTCGCCCTGCCTCGGGCGAGGGCACGGAGACGGGTGCGAGCATGATTAAGTGCAGTCTGCGCGTGAGGTCTAGAGCGATCGCTATGCGGTATGCTACACACGCTGTCTTCGTCTACAAGATCAACATCACGGAACCCCACTAGGGGGCTGGCAGAGTCTCCAGAGGCCGCGGAAGAGGGGGTGCTGGGAACAAGCGGCCTGGTCACATCGTGCTGAAAGCGCGAACAAAGAAATGTACAGGTGTCTTTCCTCCCACCGGGCAGCAGCCCAACCAACAAGAAAGGGTGCCGAGTCCATACCTGGCGCTAGTACTCCAAGCATTCAGGTAGACTCAGGATAGTCACGATCAGGTGGGAAGGACAGACTTAAGGAATCTATTAATTCTGATGATCGTACGGTCAACCACCTCTGACCAAAGACTCGACCACCACTTCCTAAGCCTTGGCAAGAACCTTGTCGAAGCACAGGGGAACTCGCGGAGCAGGCATTGATAAACTTCGCCCTGGAGCCCAGCAACATTCTTCCTCGGAACGCCAGGTATCTGAGGAAGCTCCTTCCATTCCGAACTCGGATGCTGAAAGATCAAATTCTTGAACAAAACGCGCTGATCAAATGCTGTGATGTAATCCCCTTCCGTGTCCTCCACAATCGTCTTATTCGTAGCACCCGCCCGCCTGTGCGCGTCAATCTTCAAGCATACTCGGTATTCCACGGCCTTGCAGAGCAGGCTCAAACTGCGAGGCTACCTCTACAGGCCAAGCTGGCTCAGACTGCGCATGAAGGGCGTCGAGGAAGCCTTATACGGGCCTCTGACCAAGCTCTGGAGGCAACCATACTCGACCCGAAGAGTTTCTTTGGGAGACTGCACCTGGCATGACCTGGCAAACGTAGCCCAACACTGGGAAGCAGAACATGTTACACACGAGGATTTTTTTGCCAGAAAAGAAGCGAGCGTCTGCATGTTCCTGCAACCTTTTTCGGAGCCTCAATGGGACCTCTCCAAGATAACGTGGGAGCCTACGTCCCAAGACCCAGCAAAGGAGGAGGAGGAGGAGGAGAAGGAGGAGGAGGAGGAGGAGGGAGCGGGCTGCACGAGACCGCCGATCGGCCGTCCGGCCGCCGATTGCCCCCGAGACCCTGGCGTCGCAGTTTGCCTTGCACCGGGCGTTCTCGCGCGAAGTCGGGCACCAGGGCCCTCGCAGACCGATCCGGCTCGAGACACGCCGAAGAAGCATGCAGTGCAGCGACCCGATATCCTTCCGCCCGCTCCTTCAATACGCTGTCGCAGGAACGCAGCGTAAGGCGCGCCCACGGCCTCACGTCCCAACGCGCGGGACGCCGAGCCTCTGACACAGCCCCGAGTCGCCCTAGCCCAAAGACCGAGGCGCAAGGGGACCGCGCAGACCGGCCTGGCTCGAGGAACGCCGCATGCAGTAGAATTGCGTCCAGGGCCCCAATCGTGACTTCCAACGAGTTTGCTTTTAACGCGACATCTCTTTTCATCATACCCGAGAAGGGGTCGAGACCTCCGGGAACCCACGTCGTGAAAACGCCCCGACGTCCCAACGCCGCGGGCCGACGGCGGTCGGATCGGGCGAAAGAGGGGGATAGTAAAGGGGCTCCGCTACGCTACTCCCGATCGGCACAGAGGCCGTGTCCTGCTATAGGCAACGGGGGATAAGGTAAATCTGGTAGGCAGCTCGCATTAGAGTAGCAGTGGCAGGCCATCAATCCTTCGACTGCGCCTGAATGAAATAATGCGATTAGCTACATGCAGCTGGCTTGGCGGCGAATTAGCTGCATGCAGCTGGCTTGCCTACCGCACCCAGGCTCCTCGCGTCGTGGGAACAACAAAAAAACATCCAGGGCAGACCTTGCCACTGTTCGGCCTCAGGGGGCTCTGGCTGGGCCCCGAGGCCGTCAGAAGACGACGGACGAGGAACAAGCTGTCCTCGAGAAGCGGGCCAGCTTCATGGGAGGAGGAGGAGGAGGAGGAGGAGGAGGAGGAGGAGGAGGAATCATGTTGTGAAAACTTCACGACGTCGGATGTCCAGGCACTCCCGGCGCCAGGGGAGGCCACGCAGCGAGGAGAGCGCCCAGCGGCGAGGCCGAAACTAGCTGCAGATTTCGACCCCCCTCCTCCTCCTCCTCCTCCCTCCTCCTCCTCCTCCTCCTCCGCCTCCTCCTCCTCCTCCTCCTCCGCCTCCTCCTCCTCCGCCTCCTCCTCCTCCGCCTCCTCCTCCTCCGCCTCCTCCTCCTCCGCCTCCTCCTCCTCCGCCTCCTCCTCCTCTTCCTCCCCCAGACGTCGTGGTTTTGCCACTCTTGCTTAGGAACTCCGTGGCGCGCAGAGGCTCTGTTCTGTGCCTCTGATGCTACAGCGAAGCGAGCGGAGACGCCATGCAGTGAGTTTGTCACACTGTGGCTCCGCAGAGGTTGGAACCTTCCACGACGAGTTCCTGGACGGCACCGGAACCTGGAAATTGCCACACACACTTTCCGTCGTTCTGTTGTTTTTGTTCCAACGGATTTTGCACCCCTTTTCCCAATCCTCCCCTATCGCCGAGGCGGGGACTCCTCCGCACCCACCGCTTGTGGAACCGATGCGCTGGGGCCCCCAAGGGGCAGCGGAACTGAATGTGTATGTTGGCCCCAGGGAGACTGAACATGGGAGGCTTCCGTGGGGTCTGAGCTGGATAAGGCCCAGAGAAAGTTGGCCAAGAAGGGGGATGAGGTAAGTTCGATCGCAATTGGTCCCCAGAGGGGTTGATTATTTGTCGGCCCAACGGGCCAGAGGCGTGCTACGATCTCCGGTAACTGGTTAACAATATTTCTAGTTCGCGCGCGCAGAGCGGCCCCTGGGGGCCCCGGAAAGTACCCCGGCTAGGTGCCATTTTTCGACACCCCTCACAAGGATCGTGGCCTCCGAGGGGGGAGCCGCAATCGACTACCCCCCCCTCCCGCCCCAAGAGGCCCCCAAGAGCCCCCCAAGAGGCCCTGGGGGCCCCCAAGACGCCGCCAAGGAGCTCCAAGAGACTCCCAAGAGGTCCCCAAGAGGCCCCCAAGAGGCCCTAAAGAGGGCTCCAGGGCCGCCGGAATGAGCGAAGCGATTAAAAAACAAGTTTTTCAAGCCACGTCCAGTTGTGGCGACGAGGGGGCCTCTTTCTCCCCCCCTCTTCTTGGCCAAGACCAGTGCAGGGCCACCTCAGCCTCCCAGCCGCCTCCAAACTGAACAGGTCACAGGTCCCCGAAGATCGTTCCCCGGGCGGTGGCCATGTGTACGGCAGGTTCGTGTCGTGTCGACCCTGGCGTCCGTTCCCGACATCGAGGGGATCGTTCAACCTTGAGCGATCGGCCGCTCCCGAAACGTCCGGATCGTCCAACATCGCCCGATTCTGGGTCGCTGGCGACGCTCAACGTGCGGAACACCCGCGGCAGGGTCGCCGCGGGTCGACACGACGCGAACCGACCGTACAGATCCCCGCCGCGGACCCTCCTCCGCCCGGAGACGGGCAGAGAGGCCGCGCTGCGACCGCGGGCGCCGGCTCTGGGCCCGCCGCCCTCCAGCGCCAGCTCTGCGGCGCGGCTCCTGCCCTTGACCGGGCGCGCGGGGTCCGCCTTGGCCGGCAGGGAGGGGAGCCGGACACCGGGCATGCCCTGACAGCCTTGCGCTGGAGACAGCACGATGGGAAGCTTGGTCGAGTCGTTTGGCCCTAGGAGGCCTTCGCACGGACCCGGGCGGGGCCGTCGAGAAACGGCCCCGGCCGAGGACCATGCCAGGACCATCGAGACTTTCACCACGGCGGCAGTCTGCCCCCCGGACATGGCCGAGGCTTCTGGGGCCCGCGGGCTGGAAAACTCGTCGTGGGACCTGCATGGGCGTCCGCGTCCAGTTTCGGCATGCGCTTGAGACCCTCGCGGATGGATCCAGCTCGAGAAATGCTGCAGCGAGATTGCCCCGATGGCTCTGGCTGTGATTCCCCACGATGTTGCATTTTCTGCGTGACTTCGGATCCCAAGGGGGACCGAATCTTAAAAAATTTGGGGGGCGTCTCTGGCTCCTGTGGCGGACCCCCAGGATCCTCCAGAGGCCCGCGGGGACCTCTAGAGACTTCGGAGTCCTCGAGGAGAGGGAACCTCATGGGGGTTGATCGATCCCGCGGTTTTCTTCAAAATGTCGGCCCCAGGATATATGCAACACGCATCAGAATGGGAAAGATTCCCAGGAAAAGTAAGTCGCGAGGCCAGGAGGTTCATGTCGCGACAAAGTCTGGTGGACGGCTGGAATGGTTTAAGACAAGGTTTTATTGTGTGTGTGCGTGCGTGCGCGTTACCCCACACCAGTGAGCAAAGCAACGCACTTCGGCATCTGTGAACACTGTGGAAGCCAAGGGCCGCCGCCTCAGCATGGAATGACCTCTGCCCTCCGCCTCCCCCAGGCATCCAGAGCTTTGACCTTTTGTTCGACGCGTGAGCCCCTGGATTTCTCGACCCCTTCCCCAGGGGCCAAATCTTCATCCCAGGCCGGCTTTGGAATCCGAGCGCCCGCTCGCCTTTCTCCGAGGCGCCCGATGTCCCAGCTGTCCCCCGCGCGGCCCAGCGTCGGAGGAGCAGGGAGGAAAGGCGAAGGCAAGCAAACGACGACGAGCGCGCCAGGCGGGAGGCCGGGGCAGGCGGGACGAAGCAGCGGGCGGGAAGGCGGGAAGAGGCAAAGGGCAGCAGCAGACCTATTCGACGTGACGTCGCCTGAGCATTTTCTCAGGGTGGAGGTCTCAGGGTGAAATCCAGATTGGCTCTTGCACCTCGAAAATCAATCCGTCTTGCGATTCACCCTTTGCAGATTCAAGCCTCGAAAAATCCATCGAAACGGCATTTCAGACTTCACCCTTTGCCCTCCACCCAAAGAAAATGCTCGGGTCGCGCAAAAGCAAATACGACGGGAGGTCTTGACAACTTTCAGCCTCCAGGGGGCCCTCACTGACCCCAGGACCGTCAACAGAACTGCTCGGGATGAAACACCGGTTCTCAGGGAGTCGGTCCAGACTTCCAGAGGTCTGCGTTGCGAAAAAAACACGGTGTCGGGGGTCGTGGAAGGGACACGGGGCAGGCCCCCCCCCTGGGCATCGGAACAAGAAGGTGCCCGTACCGCAGCTCCCCGGGCGTCTCCGGGGGCGCGCTCCGACCAGGAACCCGAGGCGAATGCAGCCGCAGCGATGAGAGGACTCCCGGAATGCCCAAAGGAGCGAACACGAGGCAAGGGCACGGGCATCGGCACGTTTTCCCCTGCTTATTCGCTCCACTCCCCTCGCCCTTCCCTGGCCCTGCCCTGCGAAGGTGGCCCCTGCCGCCATGGAGTCTGCACCTCCACTGGGTGTGCTAGGTCTCCCGCACGGGCGGAGACAAAGAACTGACTGAGCCCCAGGCTTCTCCGACGATGTGACCGTTTCATTTCGCATCCCCACAGAGGTCCCGACCGCTTCCCTGGGGGCAGTTTTGCATCCGGGATCCTTTCTTGATAGCCCTGGGACCCGACAGCACCACACGAGGGCCGAAATCTAGAAATTTGGAGTCCCGAAACGGTGCGGTGACAGACCGTGCGGTGACCTCAAAATCCCCCAAGACCTCACCGCACGGTCCGTCACCGCACGGTCTTAGGACCTCGGATGCCCCAGTCGCCCGAGACGTCCTCGGAGAACGACCCGAGTCCCACCGACTCACCACACGGTGTGGTCACCACCCCGTTTGGGGGCCCCCGAAGAAAACGCCGGGATTCAAACAAAAAAATCAGACCTGCGGAGATCCAGGTGCTAGCCTTCCGCATCGTTACGGCCGGCGCCTCGAGAGCGGCGCGAAGTCTACACGGGAGCTCTGGAGCCACAAGACGCGCCCCCGCTCAGAGGCTATACGACACGATACGCTACGACACGACACCCTGCCGGGCACGGGCCCGCCCCGCTGCGGGGGAAGGCGGAAAGGCGGCGCAGCGCTGCGATGTGAACCATCAGAGATGACAATACGAATCAGGCAGAGCGCGGAAACCTGGCAAGCAACACGAATCAAGCAGAGCGGAGGTGAAGCCTCAGAGGCGATCTCCCTGGAAGCTTGGTCGAGCGGGCGCGGGTCCCGCATTTCGAGCCCGTCGGGGAGGGGCATGCCGAGGGGGGACGAAAAGCAGAGCAGAGCAGCACCAATGGCACGATACAGTCGCCGGCCTGAACTAAGGAACGATAAAGCAGGAACGAAGCCCCTTTTTTCCAAGGCATAACGCGTAAGGATCGATACATGATACATAACGCATCAGGAACGACAGATAACGCATGCAAGCCAAAGGAAAGACCGAGCCCCTTCTGAAAAGTAAGTGTTCCTTATTCAAACCGCTCACAATAGAATGCCTCAATGAAAAACGGCGACTGGGGGCCTCAAAACTGGAGGGCAGCTGACCAAGCGTTCGGACCCTCGTTCGGGGTCGCCGTGAAGGCTCGCCTCGGCACTCCACAATGGTTTGGGCAGGGTGGACGCAGACGTGGAGGGAGGAGAGCGAGAAAGATCATTGGGAGGAGGGGCTGGAATTCTGGATGGCAGCTCCTGCTCGGAAGACTCGCATGGAGAATTGCTGAGCGGGTACTAGTCCCTAAAGGTGCGCACGGCGGAATGGCCTTCCTTGTGTCCGTCGCCCTCCTGTAATGACTTTACTTCTGGTTAGGAGGCGGACAGGGAAGAGGGAGGCAACGAATCACCACATAATCAAAACTCCATTGAAACCGTCTGCAGAAAAATCGCATATGATAACGACGTCTCTGCTGCCAGACCGTGCGGGCGGAATCGCCCCATTCCCGCTGTCCTCCAATCGTGCAGAGAAGGAAAGGGACCGTCCTTGCCACCCAAGCCGTCGGCTGCTGTGTCATTATCTCCCCAGCAGCTCAGCAATGAGCTCGACTCCTGCTGCCATAGAGCCATTTGCCTTGGCACGGGACACGGGAACAGGGTGAGGAGCGATGGCCCCACGACACAACGTGATGAACAGAACGCGGCATCGCAATTTTCGACATTGAGACCAGCCTTCTTGGCAGTGGTTACCAGGGACATGTTGGTTCAGCGAATCTTTTCGCAAAAGACACAGACAGCTGAGGGGAACGTTGCGGCCAGCACTGAAATCCACTCGCATTGCCACCAAGAACGTGCACCGGAGCCAGGTCAAGGAGGAGGAAGGTGAGAGGAAGAGGAGGAGGAGGAGGAGGAGGAACATGAGGAGGAGCTGAGGCTGAAATCGGCCGCTCAGTGGGGGAAGCTGAGTTTAGAGTGAATGGAGTGGCCGATCTTGCGGCCAAACGCGGAGCAGCCTTAGCCAGTCTTTCCCAAGACGTTTTGGCCGAGGTTGCTCGGGTTGACGATTTGGCCTCCCGTGTCCTGGACTACTTGCTTGTTGTTGGCCTCGAGGAGGCCAAAGCTCGAGATCAGGATGCTCAGGCGCCAGGGGCATTCACTCCTGGAGATGTAGTTGCTGCTAAGCAGGCCCGACAACCACGTCTGAACGCCCGCGAAGCCACAGCCCACCAAGTTTCAGTGCGTGCGAATGGAGTTTCTGAAGGGGCCCTGGGACACACGAATAAATACACGCAAATTGAAGGATTACTCATATTTCCTAATATTTTCTGGGTTTGTGTCTTCCCCCCCACTTCCCATATATCCTAATATTTTCTTGGGAATCGACGATGAATTGTGTCTGTCTTTTTTTTCCTACTCTTGAGTTTCTTTCTGCCAGAGGCGCCTCACGGCACCCACCAGAGCCCAGAGTTCTCCCGTGGAACTCGTGGCGGGGCTCTCCCCGTGCGGGAATTCCCCGCCAGATCCACAGGCCCCACGAGACTCGGTGCCTGCGCGGGCTCTGGTGGTGGAAGGCGTGTGGCTGTTCGGGGCACCTGCAATTCAGCAGTCTGGGGAAGGTTTGCCAGCGTCCCACGGACGCTGGCAAAAGGGCCATTGCCAAGTTATCTGAGGGGCTCCTTCCACCCAATAGGAAGCACTGGTCAGATGAGCCAAGCGAAGGAGCCCCGGGACAAGAAGAGTCCTAACATTTTTCCCAAGGCCCCTGGTCGCAATGAACCAGACTCTGGCCTAGCGCAAGCTGTTCCCAGGAAGAGGAGGAGGAGGAGGAGGAGGAGGAGGAGGAGGAGGAGGAGGAGGAGGAGGAGGAGGAGGAGGGAGGAGGAGGAGGAGGAGGAGAAGACGACGACGAGGAAGAAAAGAGGACAAACTGACAAAAACAATTTCCACGTCCAATGCGGAAATCGCGAGGCGGTAGCCGCCGGCGAGCCAGTGCCAGGTCAGCGCGGCACGATCAAAGCTGAAAGCAAGTAGGTAAGGATGCTGCGCTCAACATCCGGGGCCTACACTAGAACTCGCACCTGCATGCAAGCCGAGCTTCGAGAAGAGCGCTCGCCGACCCCCGAAGACGCCCCAGCAGACCCCTGGGAGGGCCCAAAAACAGGCTCCAAGAGGTACCCAGAGAGAACAAGATTCAACACACAGCCAACACAACAACCTCCCCAACAGGGAAAAAGAAGGTGCAAAATGCCTGCTGATCGTTGTGCCATCCAGGGGGCCAGCTGGAAACCGGTTGGTGGCTACCAGGGACAGAAAGGGGATGGATGAGAATGAACATCTCCAGCGCAACAGCGAAAATACCTGTGTCGCAATCTGGCGCGCACACCCAATAACGAGGCGCGCTTCGATTTGTTCGAAGCATGGGCTCCCCAAACCTTTAGACCCATTTCTCAGACAATCTTTCATCCCGAGCAGAGTTTCGGCAGTTCCGAGGCCCAGAACTTGCCTCCAGAGGCCTCCGGAAAAAAACAAACCCGCCACCTCGATTTTTCCGAGACGTCGGATGTCTGGGTATGATATAGAATGACTCTCATGTTTGGGATTTTCGCGATTCCAGAAGAACACATGAATTGTGCCAAGTCGGGCATGTCCCCCTACAGGGGGATGTTGGGCGAACAAATATAGATACTCGAAAATACCCCGCATGCAATGTTCAAAAATAGTTTTAAAAAATTGTCCCCGGAGTATTCTTTCACTATGTTTGAATATTCCTCCTGTAGAAGGACACGCCTGACTTAAATCTATGGCCGGCACTGAAGCCCCCTCGGCCGGCGCGCCGAGCGCGCCATCGGCAGCGCCAAAGGCGCCGCTGAGGCGGAGGAGGGGGGACCAGCGACGACCCAAGAAATCGGCGTGGACCCCCAAACGTGGGATGTTTGTGCAGTGCTTCGTTTCCTGATACGATCCCCTCCAGGCATCCCGCGTTTCGTGTTTCCACAGCGTGGCTCCTAAAAGGTCTGGACCCCTCCCTGGGGACTGGCGTTCCACCCTGAATCGTCAATTTGACTGCCTCAGGGCTCCTCCGGGGCGCCCTGAAGACGAACATTGCCAAAACCCCATGGTCCCGATATCAACCAGCGCAGACTCAACATATATCAAAACAGTAAGATTAAAAGGGACTGCAGAGGACTGACGCTGCCCTCTGACGGTCAGAGAAGGGCGGGGATCAGCAGTGGTGCGCGAGAGCGCAGAAAGGGGGGGCTGGGTGCGGGGGGACTCTTCTACGAGCGCAGCGGGCTGCTCAGAAGCTCCCCTGCTCCCCCAGGAAAATCTAGAACCCCCCGATCCCGTTCTACAGACGGACCAATCGGCGAACGGGCCCACCAACCAACCAACCACCTAATTAGCTTGGTTGCCCTCCCATGGTGCGACGCCACGTGGCGAGGACAGTGGATGATGTGCTGTTGCTTTTGCCCTCCCTGCGCTGCCATGCGCCAAGACAGCGTACAACAGCATGTTTCCGCCCCCCCTGCGTTGCCCCGCGGCGGCAAGAATAGGTTCGCTTCGCCGCTCTGCTCCACCACGTGGCGAGCAACATGTAACCGCAACTTCTCCGCTCTTATGCACTGCCGCGTGACGAGCTCGAGTAGAACAAGCCGTTCTCGCCCCCTGTGCTTTGTCAAGTGACGAATGGAACGGATGTGTTCTTGTGTCGCCCCTCTGCTCTCCACTGTGATGGAATGTGTTTCGCTCCTTGGGGCACCACGTGGCGAGCAAAGTGGAATGGTTTGTTTGTGGCCCGCAACATGGCCATGTGACAAAAAGAATCGAATTGCATTTTCGAGGCAGCGCGATATACCGTCGATATACCTCCCCCCCCACCCTGGTTCGAACAGGCCGGGGGGGGAGGGGGCTGGGTTCGAACCTGCAAGGGGGGGATTGAGACGGCCCCCTGTCCCCCCGGAGTTCGAACTGAGGGGGAAAGGGGGAAGGCCGCCCCCGAATGCGACGACGACGACGACGAGGACGACGACGACGACGCCCGTCGGGCGGGCGTGTGCCACCCGAAGATCCACAAGTACGGCAGACCTGGTTTAGTGATTCCGGTCCATGTTTGGGATTCGGGGCCCTATCACCAACCGGTGCTGCAGCGGACGATCCGGGAGTCGCAAGAGGGCGTTTCTTTATTTTCGGCGATAATGGGCATTGTAGGGGGGGGGGAAGGGGGGGTCCGGGAGGGGGGTAACTATCATGTAACACCTCCCCCCCGCCGTGTGGATCCGGTACCACAGCCGCGTCCCGCGCGAATGACGACGATGAGCGACGAGGGACGAGCGACGAGCGACGGCGACGACGCGAGCGGCATGTAGGTGGCGACCTGCCCCGCAGCGCCTGTGTACACTTAAGTCGGGCCTGTCCCTCTACAGGAGGATTATTTCCAAATAGTCAAATAAGAGTGGGGGGACGATTTCTAAACTGTTTTTGCTTTTTTTTTTTTGACATTTAAAAAATGTTCGTACAAAATCCCCCTGTAGGAGGACACGCCCGACCTAAGTGTGCACCACAATGCCCGTCGGCGTCGTGGAGCGACGCCGACGGGCCGACGGGCCGACGCAGGAGGCGCGGCGGCAGCAGGCCGCCAGGAGGTCGGTCCTCGGCGGGGCGCGGCCGCCGGGCCGCCGCGGCGGCGGGCGGCCAACGACGAGTGGAGCTAAGCCCGGGGGGAACGACAGGGGGGGATAGCAAAGGGTCGGAGGTGAGGGGGTGAGATCGAAGTGGAACGGAGAGCCCCCCTACCGGGAAATCGATTTCGGTTTCGTGTTCGTGCGTGCCGTGCGGGCGAGGCGAAGCTGCGTGGGCGGGCGAGAGAAAATCTCCTGTGGCTGAGGCGCGGCCGGAGCAAAAGAACCTTGACCGGGCGGCCGGTGCCCCGCGGTGTCCCGCCAGTGTCCCGCTCGGGGGCCAGTGGCGCGCGGTGTCCCGCCGGTGTCCCGCCGGTGTCCCGTCGGTATCCCGATGATGATGATGATGATGATGATGATGATGATGATGATGATGATGATGATGATGATGATGATGATGATGATGATATTGATGATGTTGATGTTGATGATGCTGATGATGTTGACGATGATGATGATGGTGGTGATGGTGATGATGATGATGGTGTCCCGATGATGATGATGATGATGATGATGATGATGGTGATGATGATGATGATGATGATGATGATGATGATGATGTTGACGCTGCTGATGATGATGATGGTGATGGTGGTGATGATGATGGTGCCCCGATGGATGATGATGTAAATGATGATGCTGTTGCTGATGGTGATGATGATGGTGCCCCGATGATGATGATGATGATGATGATGATCCTCATGATGTTGATGATGATCAGATGATGGTGATGATGATGAAGATGATGGTGATGATGGTGTCCCGATGATGATGCTGTTGATGATGATGATGATGATGGTGTCCCGATGATGATGAGAATGATGATGATGACGATGATGGTGTCCCGATGAAGATGATCTTGATGATGAGGATGATGATGTGATGCTGATGATTTTGAC